TATATATATATATATATATATATATATATATATATATATATATATATATATGTATGAACTTACTCATTGTGCATCCTCTCCATTATGCTTTGTAGGTCTGCATTGACATTGGTACCTCCAATTTCTGCTGCATAATGGATCAGTTGTAGCTCATTCTGTGCGTATGGTTGCGACTGGGTGTGTGCTTGAGAATGTATATGTGGCTGCGAGTCTACATGTACTCGTAAATATGTATGTGGCAATGAATCCATGTGTTGTTGTGAAGGCATGTTTGATTGCGAGTGTGTACGTGACTGTGATCGCATCAGTAGCTATGATGGCATCAGTAGCTGTGACTGCGTGTGCGGCTGTGAGAGAGTGTGTGGCTGTGAGTGCGTTTGTGGCTGCATGTGTGACTGTGAATGCATTTGTGGGTATGATATAACGGAATTGTGGATATCACACTCTTTGTCTTCTAAAATTCTTCTTATTTCCTCTGCATCATCTTCGATGTCAACTTGGGCTCTTTGTACAACTTTTTTCTGCGGAGCTTCATCTGAACTTGTAGTTTGGTACCGCTGTGGTTTGGCAACATAACGTTTTGGCCGATCCATCACTGTAAGTACAAGAACATATCAAACATATGAAATTACATAATTTATACTATGGATGTACTGTACAATAGTACAATTTTAATAAATATATTATTATTAAAAAGTCACTTCACACACTGTACCAACTGTTTTATTCTCAATGTTTACGTATTTCTCACTATATAATGCACATAACTTTGCATAAAATCATTTAAATTATTTCTGAGAACGTTTCATAATTTTGAGACGAAGGTAAAAAAGTAATTACATGCATAATATTGGTGTAACTGAATGTAGCGATTACAGGAATTAGCAAAATATATAATGTAATACTATATTGATCCATACTTACGTATTTAGTGAGTCTTCCGTGTGGGTAAACAAATATTCCTTTATTGCGCCTTATTATTGCACGTTAATAAAGATCGCATTGAAACGAAACGAAAGCGATGAAATAATGGCTGCCGTACAAATCTTTTGCTGTGGAGGAGGGTGCATTCCAGAAATCGAACAAGCGGAACGGAACAGCAATAGAGCAGAGATAGAGCCAATCAGAATGATTAAGAATAATTGAGAATTATTTTGATTGGCAGAGAAGTAACTTGCTCCAGTTCCATTTCATAGAAGAAGGAGAAGAGAAATAAGTACGCATGCACAGGAGCTTGAGCGCTCAG